CCCCAAAGGGCAGCCCTCAGGGCCTGCGGTCTCCCACCCATGATGCCTTCTGGGAGCCCCCTGGCTTGGCCTGTGTAGGGCTAAGAGTGGCTCTCCCTGACCTTTCACCTCTCAGGTCCGCCCCAGGGCTCAGTCTTAGGCTCTGACCTTTCCTCCTGCCCCACAACAAGGGGGTGGTCCCCAGGCACTGCCTCTGTTGAGAGTCTCTGCTGTTTGCAGCTGGCTCTCCTGGGTCAGCTGTGCCTCTAGTCAAAGTGCTGGGGTGAGCTGACAGCTGGAAGTGGAAAACTGGGTTCTTAAAACACGGCCAGCAAGGGCTGTCCTCAGAGAATACCTGGGGTGGGTTTTTAAATCCTTGGAAGAAGAGGGCTGTGTCAACAGCAGCTAGTACTCACTATCTGGGGTCCTTTCAGCCACAGGCTGCTGCCCGCTGGAAGCTTTCCTGATAGATAAAGCATCACCCACCATTTCAGTAAACAAAAGCACTTGTGGCCAACAAGCCTTTGGTTACAGCGGCACCCACCCTCCACCAAAGTGCACCTTGAGCAGAGTTCAGGATGGAGAAAAAGAGTATACTGGGCCTAGATAGTGAAGATGCATACAAAAGGAATGCCTTCAAAAAGCCCAAACTCTTCCATCTTCCCACACAGAGAAAAGCACTAAAATCATTAATTTGTGATATCTGCTTTTTGTGATTAGCAGTCATCTTTTGATGTCTGACTGTGTCCCCCCTCCCCCCAGCAAAAACTGCTGTATCTCCTGGCTCCCCCTGGACCTCTTTGGAACAGTCCCTTAGAGCTATCTGAGAGACTGCCTCCCGGGCTGCAGTTCTCAGTGAGGGCTCCAGACAAAACACAATTCTCAACTTGTAGGCTGCGCATACTCTTTAGTTGACAGGTGAGTGATCTGGAGGAGGAAGTGGCACCCCACTCCAGTACTCTTGCCTGGGAAGTCTCATGGATAGAGGAATCTGGAGGGCTACAGCCCACGGCGTCGCAGAGTTGGACACGACCGACCGACTGAGCACGAGTGACCCGGAAACATTCAGACGCCCAGCGTGTGCTACAAGCAGAAAAGCAGGCCTGTGGGCCAAACAACAGCCGTGGATGCTGGAGGGCTGGGCTGCTCCAAATTCCAACTGGTGTTGACGAGCCAGAGGCAGAGTGGTGAGGGTGCAAGAAAGGACCTCAGTTCTGCAGGCAGAGACCTGGGTCTGGGTCCCGACTCTAGAAAGCTGGGAAACCTTGGGAAGTGACACCTTCTTTGAGACTTACTTCTGGTGATTGGAAAAAACAGCAAAACCTTGTAGGCTTGAAACCGACTCCCCTTAAAACTGAGTTCCTCTGTCAAGTTCATGTTAATTTCTTTATCCAAAACTTTATTCCTTTTCGTCTCCCACACCTGTTCCCCCCAAGACTGAAGAGTATCAAAGAAAAGGGGGCTTTGAAACCCGCTGGTATTCTGCAGGGCCCTTCTGGGCACGAAAGCTTTTCAGTGCTCCCCATTTCTTGTTTATGCGGAAAAGGCTGCTGTCTCCTAAATCTTCCCTGAGTTCCAAAGGGCAGATTCAGTTTCTCATTAGGGGAGGGAGGGAACCCAGAAACAAAGGAAAAGCAGTCAAGAAACAATAGTGCAGCAATAAAAAAGAGCCCTAGTTCCTTCTCAAGGGATTTACTTGACAATCCGATACACATCTCTGAGTTCTACTATGGGAGCTGGGGCCTCACCCAGGTGGATTGAGGGTGACTTCAAGCCTGCACAAGTTCGGACCCCAGACTGGATGGAACCAGAAGGCTGATGCCTAAGATTCCTGGAGCCCCTCCCACCAACCAATCAGAAGAAAGTTACAAACCCTGGAGTTCCACCCTCCTCCTAATTTTGCCTTTAGAAACTCCTCCCGGAAAACCAATGGGATTTTGGGTCTTTTGAGTATGCACAGCCCAATCTCCTTCTTTGGCCCCTGTAATAAACTTTTCTCTGCTCCAAACTCCTGCTTTGGTTTGTTTGGCCTCACTGCACATCCAGCACACAAACTTGGGTTTGACAATAGGACTGTGATACAAGTATGGCACCTGGTGTTTGCTCACAAACTGTTACCTTCTTTTTTTCCTTTCTTCCCTCCAGTAATGTGTCAGCATGATGCTAAATACCTAGGGTCTGGATCAGTAAGATTCAGAATCTGATCTCACAAAGCCTCGTCCAGCAGGGAAATCACATGCACAACTACTAACAGAATGCCACGGTGCTTTATTAGTGTGACGTTGGTGAAAATAATAAAAATGATGACAATGTTTCCTGCAAACTGACAATGGGCCAGGCCCTCTCCGAGAGCATCTCACTTCACTCTCACAACCACTCTGAGAAATGGATGCTGCTATAACCACCATTCCATCCAGGAAGCAGAGGCTCAGAGCCCAAAGGCAGACAGGGAGTGAGCCTGAGGAGCTAGAGTGATGGGAGGGCACAAAAGCAATGGCTGGATCTAAAGGGGTCAACGAAGGCCTCGTGGAATAGGTGATGATGCCTGGAGCTTTGAAGGAGGCACTGGCAGCAGGCATTTCAGGCAGAGCGAGCAGCAAGCAGAAAGGGGTGTGGATGGGTGACTGGAAACTTTCTGAGTCGAGAGACACTGAGCTCTGATTTACACCATCAGGACCTACAGTCAGCGCTGCTGACTGCACAGGGCTCTACGCTCAACAGGGGGATGAAGTTGGCAGGCTGGAGAAGAGATTATTTCAATCCTGCAGTTTATAGAAATGCAAGCAGCTCATACTAGGTCATTAGTAATTACAGCTGATCAGGGCTGTTGCTCCCCCACACCCCGGGGCGGGGGGGAGCGGCAGGGAAGAAAAGAAAAGGAATACTGAGGATATTAACTCAAACAGCAGACATTATTCATTTAATCGTACTTTTAGAGCCTCTTCAGCTTTGGTTCAGATTTCAGGAACTCAGGGGGGTTCATCTCAGCTTTCTGACCATGTCACTGGGGTCTTGGGTGAGTCCTATTTTCCACCTTCCCTCTCTTGGCCTTAGTCTCCAGTGTAGAGTGAAGGGGATGGGCTAGAATGGAGGTTTTCAATCTGGTGGCCACCTCAGATCTATAGCCTTTGATGCTTTAACAAGTCTTCCAGGGGGATTCTGATGATAGCCTTGGATTAGAAGAGCCCCAGGATAAGGACTGTTCCTGCAGTAAAACATGGTCTGTGCTCTAAAGGAATAAGAATTAGTAGCATGCTCTTTGGACTGAATATTTCTTGCCCAAGACAGGTGACCCTTCAGGGTAAGAAGAGAAGCTCTTTTCTTTGACTACCTCAAGCCTGGAGTCCCAGCAAGCTTTTCTAGAAAGCCTCTGGCATATTTGGCTGACTGTGAACCAGAATTTTTTTCTTTTTTGGGGGTGGGTGGGTAGGAAGTCTCAAGCTTGACATGTGATAAAAGCAGAGGTTTCTACAGTTGAAGAAATACAGACCAGAGATGAGCTGCCTTCTCTTTTCAGCTCCCAAACAATGACTCATCAGAGTGTGTGTGTGTGAGTGTGTGTGGAGCAGGTGGATGAGGGTCCTGAGAGAGCAGTTGCCCCTCTGAGGTCCAGGAACTTCCTGGTGTGTAAATTCTCTACTGACAGCATACTCTTGAATACATTTGATTACAAAACCTCAAAAGAGCCACAAACAGCCGGCGGGGGGCAATTTCAACACAGAACTGGGTTAACAGACTTAAGTGAGGTTTGACTTCTAAGACAGAAAGAATGAAAAGAATGTCTTGTCTAAAAGATCCAGTTTTCCCAGTCTGGACTTAAGGCTAAAAATCATCAAAAAGATAGAGGCTTTCACAGTACTTCCCTCGGTTTATTCAGGCGAGGAGGCACACCCAGACTGTTCTGGAGAAGTGTCCGGGCTATGGCCTGGGGCCTCTCTGAGTTGGTGGGCAGGAATGAGTGCCTGTAAGACCAACTGTTCAGCCATTCTCAGGATTTTGGAACCCTCACTTGGTGGTGTCTCAGTAACAATAATAAATATTACCACCTTCTTTAAGAGAGCATCTGCCACGTGGAAGGCACTAAATCCTTCACACTTATGAACGAGTTTAACCTACACAACAACTCCAAGGAGGCAGAGATCATTATTATCCCCTAATCACAGGGGAGGGATCCTCTACAGACAGCCAACGCCGCACCATTAGTAAGTCTCCAGTCAACAGGTGCCAAGGGAGTCAGGAGACCTGGGCTCTGAGTGAGCCTGTGTCTCGCCCAGAGGGCTTGGCCCTCCCATCTGCTGAGAAATGAGGGAGGCCGAATCAGGTGGTTTCGAAGATCCCTTCCAGCTCCGAATCTGCGACTCCACGCGGTCCATTAGAGGCCGGTTGGTGAGGCGGCTACGGCCGGCAGTTCCTGAGGCTTTGGCCTGGCCTTCTTGTGGGGTGGACTCCCCAGCGTCTAGCCCCGGCTGGGCGGAGGAAAGGCTCCCAGCCGCCTGCCCGCAACATGCCCGCCCGGCCGCCGAGCCCCAGCCTCCTGGTCCTTGAGAATGGACTTCCAGCCCTTCTCAGGTATCCGTGTTCGCAGCTCCAGACGAGCCAGGAAGGAAATGGCAAGAGCCCAGGTGGTGCAACCCGTGCGGGGGAGGCGACGACAGAAACCATCGAGGGACCCAAGGACTGCAAAAACCACGCAGTCCTTTAACCCCCAAAACTTTCTGCCTGGATTCGCGACCCCAGCAGCTGCACATTGGCTGAGCCGCGGCCGCCCGGGCCCGCCTCCTCTCTTTATTTATTGGCTGCCGTGGGCATCCATCACAAGCCGAGGCTTCCTAGTGGACAGCGGCTTTTGTCAATCAAAGAAGGCGGGAGGCAGGGCGGGGCCGGGTCTGGGAGAGACACGCCAGCCTCACTCCCCTCCCTGTCTCCCTCTGGTGTGTGACTCGGGACCAGGAGGTGCCCCGGGGGGCCGGGGTTGAGTGCGGAGTGCTGCGTTGGGGCTGCGCGGGGCCCCGCGGACTCACCGATGCGCTGTCCCACCGGAGAGCTGAACGGGTTCCCCAGGAGAAAGTCCATCGCCACTGCTGCTGCTGCCACCAAGCCGGGGAATCAGCTGACAGCAACCGCCAGCGCCGCGGACCCGTCACGTGATGCGCTGGACCGTCCTCGGGGAGGCGCGGCTGGGGCGGGGCAGAGGGAGTCTGGAGCCCAGCCGCAGCCCCCGCCCCGGACGTGGAGTGTCGGCGCCCTGAGGCGGAGGGCGATGACCTCACTGCGGTTAACTCGGCGTCGGCGGACGTCACGCACTACGTAGGGCGACTGCGGTCCAGAGGGCGTGGGTTTCGTTAAGCCACGCCCTCCATGCTTCCTTAACGATTTAGGGGCGCGGTCTTTGAACTCTTCACATCTGGAAAACCCAATCTCAGACCAGGGAAATGGCTTGGGTAAGGTTACCCAGCAAGCCGAGACCAAAGCTCTAGCTCTTAGTCTAAGCCCCTGGGACCTCAGTATGACTACACACCCGCTGCTGGGGTTGACAGCCTGTCTGTCCTGTTGCCTCCCTACCCAGAGAGGACGCTTTCTGTTTGAGGCTGAGGTCTCCTGGCTGCAAAATGCGTCATGTTTGCAGCCCAGATTCCCTTACCTCAAATAGGAGGCAAGGGCCAAAGGTTTTCGAGACCTTGACACCGAGACACAGCTCAGTGAGTTGCAGCTAGTTATTGGCTAGAGCTCAGGGTGGCAGAAAGCATACAAATGTTATGAGTGGGTCCTAGGACACATCTCTGCCACTCATTTACTGTGTGATTCAAACAGCAGGCTTCCATTTTCTCTGAATTCTGGAATTAGATCAAGGACTTATAACCTTTATTTTTTTAGGTCACAGGTTCCTTTGAGAAATTGTACAAAGCATTGGAGCGTTTCTGAAGAAAAAAGGCGAGATAGACTTGTACCTCAGGGGGGTTCTGGGGTCCCTGAGGTACACCAATGGACCCCAAGCTAAGAATCTCAAAGGCTTTCTCCAGCTTTGTAATTCAAATATCTTCTTCCATGTTCCCGTGTGCCATGTTTCAGCTGTGTCACTTACTCATTAGATATCTTACCGGTTATATTTTTTTGCTTCTAATGACATGTACTCCAAAAGATACAATAAGCAGTGCTTTGGTAGTCTGAGCTACTGTGAGGTGCTTTAGTATTTATCGAACATATTTGTGAATTTTTAATTTGAAAGGCTAGTAAATTTCACAAATTTAGGATGATAGAAAACTTGAATTACAATTTTATCACTTCTGTATGTTAACTGTTTGAGCAATCAATAGGGTCTGACATCTTTACTGTATGATATAAAAGCTTTATTGAAATCATGTACTCCTGTGCTTTGAAGTGTTTTAATAATGCTCATGAGATATGTTAATAGATGCCCAGTCCCCCAGTAGTCTATATGCTCCTTGAGGCTGGGATGCTATGTCTGTTTCTCTCACTGTTGACCAACACGATGACTAATGCTTGAAAATTTAAATTAGTAATGGTATTTAGCCTATAAAGGGGGGATCTGCACTTATGATGATTTTCATGTCAGGTAGGTACCTTCTATGTTTTTTTTTTTCATTTAAGTATATTGCTTGTTAGTATGGAAAGTATTTAGCATGATTTTCCTTTGGATTCTTCCATTAATCTTTAATATCCCTATGTTAGATGACTGGAAGTTCTTGCCTTCTTGCATCACTCTGGTTTAAAGTGATTATAGGCAGATCGTGGCTTTACTACAGAGTTTAGAACAGTCATAGTTTTATCCTTCATGGTAAGAAAGCAGAAACAACCCACATACCCCCAAACAGGGAGTGAAAATTTATATTAACTCCATGCAGACAGAAAGTTGTACAGCTATTAAATTAGAAATGGGAGTGTGTAGATTTTGTCAATACAATAAATAGTAACGTAAATGGCAAACATTAAGTGCAGTATAAAACTATGTCTTCAAACTATTTCCTAACAGGGAACAAACTTGTTCAGTAAATAGTCTGTTTTAATTTTTTCTTTTAAGTATTTTAGCAATATCAATATCAAATGCCTTACTATGGATAAAAATGTTGGAAGTCCCTTAAGATTGACAGTGCATAAATATAATATAATTGATTATAACCTTTAAGTACTTTTAAACAAAAAAATGAAGATACTCTGCTTTCAAAATTTAAAGACCAGAGTATGACAAGAAAAGTGAGGTCCCTATAGTAAAGTCCAGCTAGGACAGAAGAACACTTGGACAATGAAAAGGTCTGATAGTTTTCCTGCAATCAAACTTTCTCAGGACTGCAGATAATGGAGAAGGATTCTGATGAATTACATACACAATTTAAATTTGAAAGCGGCTTGGGGTAGAGGAGAGCCTCGGCTTTGCTTCAGCCTTTGCTGTTCCAGTGTGCTTACTCTGGCTTTGCCATTTACTTAGCCGTTTAAACTCAGGGAAAGGGCTTTCCTGTACCTGTCTCATCTGTAAAAGGGGATAATGTTTATAAAGCTTTGGGGGAGGATTAAGTGTAATAAAATATGCAAAACACTCTCTTCATTCAGCAATACGGTGATCTCTTTCTTGCTGCCTCTCTGTAAGAAGTGAGCCATACAGCCAATCATAATATTTTGCTATTTATGATTATTAACACCTTGTGTTTGCATTGAAAATTTTACCTTGAAAGGTCTAATCTCACATATTAGATGTTCACAGTATTACTAAACATACATGTCAGGCTGGCTGGCTGCAAGGCTTGGGAGACAGAGAAGTGACATTAACACTTTTATAGATGGGACTGCAGATACCTATAAAAATTAAGGGATTTATCCAATCCAGTGTAACTCAGCAAATCAGAACAGTACTGAAACACATGATTTAGCACACAAGTTGGATGCGACTCTTACACAAGACTGATAGATATCTGACTTAGGCCAACAATATAATGTGCAGACAATTTCATTTGCCAGTGAATACAGCTACACTTACAGAGCCACTGGCTTTGCAATTAGCAAAAGAGAAGATGAAAGTCCTCAATGTAAAAGTAATAGAAACAGCAAGATGTATGTTAGGAAGATAGCTTTGATCAGACACTTGACCTCTATTCCAGATGGGCTTTTTTTGTTTAAATGTGAAAGACAGGTTTAAAATTTCATAGGAACTTTGGTTAGCCACAGGAAAAAGATAGCTGACACTGGACTACAAATATTAAAAATGTGATTTTTAATAATATAAGTACAAAATTTTATTTATACAACTGTAATGGGATTTGGATCAAACTGCTAGAATTTATTTAAAAAACAAAATAAAACAATGATATAAAAACTGCAAGAAGGTCTGAATCCAAAGTTTTTCCTCTAATAGTACCAAATACCACAAGGAACAGATTATCATACAAATGTGTACAAATTTTAAATACAAATACAATAGGGTTGGACTTTAAAGGAAAACAAACAAACACAAAGCAGGCTCTCATCAGGACTTCATTAACGTGTACAAATGACAATGGTAGGACTGACCTCTTTCTGTCCTAATCCGTGTCTCCGAGGCCCCTTCCTTGATACCCTGTGTCCAACAGGAAAATGATGTGGGTAGAGAGGTGGTGTGTGACAAGTGCTGACACACGAAATCAAACCAGGATTTCTGCTCTTTGTAATTTTGGTTCCCAAACATTCCTGTTCCCTTCTATTTCCCTAGTTCAATCTCAAAACTGCTCTGAGGTGAGAAAGGCATTCGGCAGCCAGAATACCTTTAACGAACACAGCCCTGTGACCACATGGATGGCAAGGAAGGAAGAGAAGGGTGGAAGGAGTTACATAGGATGCCGGCCGGGGGCACTATCCTCAAAGATCGACACTGATGCCTCAGTGCTCCATCCAGGCCAAGGGAAGCAAGCAGTCACCTCAGAGCTTGGTTTTGATGTGGACTCTTGCACCAAATTTAAAAACAACCCTGAAGGGCTCAACTGTTTTCTTTGGAACTGGGAAGCAAAATCTGGTTCTTTGGAAATGAGGGCAGCTGGAAATGGTAACATTCCTTTTTATTTCACTTTCTTGACATTATTTAATTGTAAAGAACTAGAATCCCAACATAATGATTCCGTCTTGAGGCACGATACCTTAAAGTGTGGGTGATCTGGAATTTGCAGAAGAGGCCAGAGGAAGGAGGGGAGGAAGAAATGACAAATCTAGTCTCTTCCACATGCTGTTGCTGGTGGAGGCTCTTGTTTTTTAAATTATATATACAGAAATTTACAGGATAAATTAAAATCTACGGGAGTTTAAAGAGTTAAATACACATAATTAAAACACATTCATACTCGCACATAAATAAACCTACATGAGAACACAGTACTTTTTTTTTTTTGCAATTCGCTTATGTGTGGAACGCGAAATGCCATGTATCTGGCCAGCAGGGGAGCCAATGAGAAGATCCCAGGAATCAGGCTGGGCAAAGCTCACCTTCCATATCCGCCCAACAACCATGAGACACAACTGTGAGCTGAGCTGATGTTGCCCATGGAAGATACCAGCTCTTAGTGCTGCAGACCAAATGCTCTGGGTCAGCTCACAGTACAGACTGTGCAACTGGTGACTGATGGCTTGACCCACTCCAGGGCTCACAAAACTCCTTGGCCCAGACAGAGGCTGCCAGTGGTACCAATGATTACAATAAGTTTTGAGACGTGGACACCGATAGAGCAGGAATTGGAATGAACCCTCTACTAAGTTCACTTAGGCCATCACAATAACTTTCAGATGGGAACGATGTTATCGCCTCCCACCTAGGTCACTTCAAGTTGAAAAGCTTTGTATTTTCAGTTAACTGACGTCTTCCCATAATCTTTCCCATTACATTTCAGACTGTAAGACAGGTAAGGCAAATGGTCAGTGATGGGTCTGGAGGTACAACTGAGTTTGGAAAAAAATCACATTTTAGCCAACCTTACCACGATGCACTTGGCATCCAAAACTAGCCCCCAGCCCCCAAGTTACATTGATTTTTAAGGCAGATTTATCCACCACAGGAGAAGAAAGAATTCTAAGCCCATATTCATGCCAAGGTTTCCTCT